TGTCGTGGGAACGAAGCGAAAATCCTATGATGACAGGCTGAAAGATCTAGGACTCTACTCTCTAGGCTACCGTAGATTACGTGGTGACTTGATAACGGCTTACAAAACACTAAGTAGCCCATGTCATCCGAGCAGTGGAATCCTACCGAACGGCCACTAAGCTGACCCTCGTAGTAACCCAAGGAGAACCAACCATCAAAGGGCGAAAACCCGTATGCGGTCATACTTCTCTCTGCGAGTTTGTGGCCGCTGGAACGTACTGCCCGTCGAGATTACTACCGCTCTGTCTGTTGACACCTTCAAGAAGAGGCTGGACAAATACTCAGTGACGCACGGTCTGGACTTGTGTGGCTGGGATATGGACTGGGCTAACATGACCTACTGACTCGTCATGGCCAACCCATCATCGAATACTTTGTAACTCCACTGTCGCTGGGATCCTGCCCCAACCTTTTACTCCCCCATAGACGTCCTCCCAGTTACCGCCTCCTACCATTAGAATTACTGTCTCTGCTCCCACCCATCCCATAATGTCGTTTACTTCTCTCCCTACTTGCTTTACGTTTCCTTTTTCCTAATCGTCTTTTCCGTTTCTTTTTTGCCTCGAGTTTCTTTGCACTTCCTCTCCCTTGATCTTTCCGGAAATGCTTTCCATCTCTCTTTTACGGCCAGTCCAACAAACTGTTTGCTGGTACGACACTTGAAGAACCCGTCTGCCCCGCGGACGTTGGAAAACGAACAAATGAACGCTCCCTACAAATTTGATCAACTCCCAATCGCCCATCAGGCCGACCAGGGCTACAGTAGTCGAGTGGGTAGGCCTACTGCACTGGAATCCACCAAAGACCTGGAAACGTTCCGCAAGACCTAGAAGCGAGCGCGAAGAAATCAGTTGATGCGGTTGACAGCTCCTTCTGATTATTGTATCACTGGCTGCACAGAACTTCCAGGTGAAAGTTGCCGTGGCTAAACCTTATTAGTGTAGTCACCCATCATTTTCCCGGTTGCGTAAGGGATTGGTTATATGTCCGTGCACTGATTGATTGCTGACTTACCTGGGTACCAATATTTTGGGGATTCTATTTCATGGTTTGTGCCTTTTCCATCCGAATTCTCCACAGTTTCGAAATCCTTTTCGTTACCACAGTTTCCCACATGCACCTATATAATATCATGGAGTGCCTTACCGTCCTATTTCATAGTGTTCATGCAGACCAGATCGAGAAGGGCAACCACTCTTTCCGTTGAAGCGCTGATCGCACCTCTTGCAGCTAGTCCTGTAAGCGACAGTTGATTAGGGACTCTTGTCTACTGCATCCTCAGTTGTGAATAACCTGGTTTGGAGGGGATCGCCTGGCTTATGAGACAGGGTCTCGGTTTTACGTCAAGCAATCAACTCCTGAAACCGACTCTTACAGAAAATGGTGTCCTTATAGTCGTTTTACCCATTCAGAAGAAGGCTGGACAAGGGAGTTGACACAAGTTCATGACCATATTTCACCCTAGTGCAAACCTAAGGATCGGAGTAATGTTTCGTCGAGCATCGGAAGCAACGAAGGCCGTCAATACCTCCAGCGATCATTCACATACAGAGGGGCGTGGGACCAAAATTATCCAAAATTCTATACACCACTGCCAGCTCTGAGAGAACGGCGGCAAAACAGGACGTCGCCTCAACCTTCTAAGGAAGCAACTTGAGGCTCTTATATCCACACTATTCCTCCCCGCCTTCAGAACCCACATTAATCCGCACTTAAAGGTATTAAACATGACGAGACTCCTCCTTGCCGACAAGATGTGAAAACGCCCAAGAAAGTGCCGAGAAGTTCATAGAAGTCGGTCATTGGACTAACAGGCAAAACGTACACGTAACACAGGATGACCAAACCTGTTCACCTTCATTCGTCAAGGCAAAAGAAGCAGCACAACAATAGCTCATAGGATTATGCATCGAATGAACCGTTCTAACTAGACAGCAATATCGGTTCAAGACCGACGGTCTCATGGGAACCCCGCTCGTACACCCGAACATAGGCATGAAGGGAGAGTTAAGTATAGCTCATTTCATGGAGTGTGTGCATCACGGAGTGCCCTGCTGAAAGAAGTAGCCACAGCCATCCTGATCAACTTTTTCAAGAGAGCAAGCGTTTGGCCACATACGTGTACTGCTGACACGCTCTGGTAGCAGTTGACTGGGTGCTTATTCGTCCCTCTGCTGCTGCGCTTCAGTACATACACTGCTAGCTATACCAGCGACGCTACTATTCTCTTTCGGTTTTTTATCATTATTCTCTTTTCAACCCACCCAGCCTTTAGTATCGCTCTTAGAATACTCATTGATACATCCACAAATAGTTGTAAAATGCTTACTGATGTTTTCAAGAGCTCAGTCAACCCCGGAACAAACCAGCCCACAATTTACGAAAGCATGCCAGATAGGCGATCACTAACTTCAAAGCTACGACCAGGTAAACTGGAAAAACTTTTGTGACCATCGTTGTAATAAATCCGAGCAAAGAGAGCCAAGGCTCAAGAACAAGAGTTCAAGATCAAAGTTTTCTCTGTCTGCGCCACCTATGTTGCTTCTTTTTGTGAGTTGTATACCGCTGATTCTCATCACCCTGCTACCAATTTACACTGGTGATGTGAAGTTATGGAGACCAGTAGCGTGCAAAACTGGTTCAAGTGTAGTACAAAGTGATCTGAGATTGTTTGCGGGGTGGGCGATTAACAGTGGGCCATGACTTCATCTCGGTAAACGCTGAACCGCGTTTCTTTGCGTCTCCGACTAGCAAAAAAATTACCCCATTCCCCTGCAGCACACGGCTTCCCGGGACAGACCTAGAACTACTGCTAGCCAGCGAGTGAGACAGCTGCTCCATTTATCTAGGAGATGCCCAGCAATATGCAGACAACTAGGTGACGTAACGCCCGGACTCAACCTGGGGCTATGCAAGAGCCATGTACGACCTCGTCTGGAGGTTCACAAGGTCATTGTGCCACCGTGCCTGATAAGACATGTGGACATCCGGGAGAAAGTTCAGAGGCTACGAACAAATGGCTACTGTGGGAATGCGGCAAAAATCCTGTGTGTGGGAGGCTGAACGACCTGGGGCTTTACTGTCTTAGTGACCGAAGGTTACGGAGGAACTAGGTGCCGGTTTACGTATGCGTTCATGCCTTTTCGCTCCACGAGTTTGCAGTCTGTGAAACATTCCGCCTACCAAGTTTGCAACTGCCACTATCCCTCAACAACTTCAAGGGGAGGTAAAACGGCTACGCCGCGACGTATGGCTAGCACTCATCCGGCTGGAATACGGATTTAGTCAACGCATCTGACTAGTTTTGTTCATTCTAGCATAGCCATCTATCCATCTAGCTGCTACTAATGTCGCGAACTCTACTCGACCGTGTTCTCACCTGTTAGATGTCTCACTTTCACTCACCATACCCGTAATGGTAACACTACTATTTCTGTTCCTGTTGCCTCTTATAGTCCTACCCGCTCCTTCTACTCCCTCGGACCCTATGATTTCTCGTCAGCACTCATATTTAGCGTGAACCTACCTAGGTTTCCCCTTCACTTCCACTTAGCTTCTTTTCGGCTTGTTTTTGCACATCCTTTCTCCATGATATCGCTAGACATCTTTTATTTCTTTCTGTCTTCTTTCTACAACTATTCCAAGCTACTGTTTGGTGACACTACACTTCAGTATCCCATCCGCACTACAGTCCCTGGGCAAATCATACAGTCCACAGAAATTTAACCAGTGTCGGGTTAACCAGAGTTATAACAGGCGAGTGGGTACACCTGCTGCATCGGAATACACCAAAAACCCGAACCGTTACATTAGAGCTAGAACTGAGCGTGGAGAGTTCAGTCAGCTTACACTAGCTTGTAAAAAGGTATTAGACGTTGCTCAACTGATTAGACTAATGCATACCTCAAGAGAGGCTCTGATCTCTCTGAAAAATACAAAGAACCGCTACAGAATCAGTTGTGGGGCTAAAGGGGAGGACATACTCTGAAAGACCAAAACTCCTAAACCTATTCACCTTGGGTAATCGCAAGAAGGGGGCTGACCTTATTATGGCCTGCAGGATTGCCCATCAGACAAACTATGGAAAAAAATTAACCTTACCTGTAATACAGCGGTCATCACGAGGAAACCCCTCCAGGATAGCATATCAGAGTCAACGCCATGCCCTATTCAATTTTTCCTCCCTGGGAGTATGTGCTTTAAGGAATGCCCTACCGCGACACATCATCACAGTCCCCTCAGTCGACTCATTCAGAAGACAGCTAGACAATTATGTCACCTTACATGGTCTACCACGGATGTACTCCGGGAGTAAGCAACCTCACTGGCCCACCCTCACCTCCCTTCTGCCTACCACTCACTATCTCTCCTTAATGCACTCACATTACCTACTAACTATTCCCTATAAAATAGAAACACGCTACCTATTTTTACCTTTCAGGCAACTCATACATACTTTTCTCTCTTCTATTTCGTCTCTTTTCTCACCTTTTCCCTTTTTTCTCTTCCGTTTTTCTTCCTTCCATTGTTTTTTTCACTCTTTACCACTACCTCGTTATTCTGGTTTAGGTACATACACACAAAGGAGTTATGATAGTCCCCTAACCTTCCCAGAAGCCTGCAGTTCTCCAACTACTCTACAAATTGCAACTAATTCAAAAAACATCCACCTCATCGAAGCTAAAAGCAGGAAAGCAGAGGGGATATCTTCATCCAATGCAGGAGCGAACCGAACAACTGGAACCAATCCCAAGGACTAGGCGAGAGAGATTAAAAACTATTAGTTTTCTACGCTTGCACTATCAACATTGGAATATTGGGTATTGGATACCTGTCCAAGGGAGTGGCAGCACTTTCAAGGTGTAGAAATCTACCATCTGTTTCTCTGTTGGGTGCGTTTGGATTATTTACACCAATGGACTTTCGGGTTTTGATGTAGAACTGTTAGCTACTCCTATTATGAGTTCGGAAAATAACCCATACGAAGCTAAAGAAAGTAAATTGAGTGGAAAGCACAGATTAAAAAGGTTTTATTTATTTGAAAGGTGCTCTGGAGGAATACTGAACCTTAAATTTGATTCAGATGTATTGGAGTCGTTTTACTACAAATGTTCTTACCCAAGCTCTCGAGGAAGATTCCGTTTTGGTACGGCATTCACAACATTCTTGTCAGTCGTATGGTTGATATACTTTTCAGTCTTGCAACCTCCAAGTTGTTTAGTGTACATAATTGGCTTCAGTCTCGGTGCTGTGATTTCTATTACATATTTCGTGGTCAGTTTTATCGACAGGCTTTTCAGGGCCAAAGCTGTATGGATCAGTAGCAGTCATGCTGGAGTTTCATGCCTACTTGTTCTGCTGACATTTACTCCATTAGAACCTGGTGCTACGTTGGCTTTTAATTTGAGCTTAGTTCTGCAGCTTGTACTGGTCACTTATACCATGTCTCCTTTGCGCTTATGGCAGTTGTTAGTAATCTGTGGACCTGTCAGCATTTTACACGTCATATTAGCCAGTGTGATCTATGGTCATGTCCCGAGTTGGTTCGTGATAATATTTTTCGTTGGCCATTTGTGTGTTCACCTAATTGGAATAAATTTACACCTAATGTCACAAGTAAGTCCTAATAATTTGATTATATGGGACTGATGCATATATTCATGCTTAAAAACACTAAATTCCAAGAAATGTTTTAGTTGTACAACTAAATACCCACCTGCTAATATTTTGGTATTGGACGTTGCTTATCAAAATAGCTTGTCTTACCAATATTTAAAAGTATCTCTTCTAGTATTGCCGGCAAACTCAAGCCATAGACATTAATTAATGAAGACACTGGAAATACAAAATGAATTGCTTTTCACATGCTGTTACTCCACTGAGATTGCATCTTGACTCTTTTGGAGACTATGTACTAGAGCTGTTAGAGGGGATACTTTTGGTAAGTACATGACGTTTGGTCCCATATAAAGTCATAAGTCCACTGCCATTGGATTATTTTTCAAATACAATTCTTGTATAACAGCTTAAGAAATTCTTTCAGTGGTGTTCGTACTCATAAATAGGTAGTTTTTCTGCGAAGAATGTAATAATTGTTTGTCTGTTTTGCATGCAGCTGAACAGGCTTCAGTTCTTTGACCACCGTTACCTTCGTAGTATAAGTTGTGTCGACACACGACACTCGAGTGACGCAGAAGTCAGTCGTGGAGTTTTGGGGAGGAAAGGAAAGTCAGTTGATGAGGTTGTGAACTGTCATCGACTCAAATGGCTAAAACATTTATTACGTAGGCTTAGCTACCACTTGGCTCATCACAAAGTGTTGGCTGGAGTAGGTTTATGGTGGAGAAAGGCTCAAAGCAGCCAAACTAAAACATGGCATAACTGTATGAAGTATTTGACCATTATTCTGAGCCGTGAAGAGAAATAATTATTTCCCGGTTGGGTCCACATGACAGCTGAAAAAAAGGATTTGAGACTAGGTCATACGACTCAGAATCGATGTCATTGACGCAAATGTACCCATATGTTATTTCACTTTTAATCTCTGTACTGAATCCAGCATTTTCTCATTCCTCCTTCCTCTCTTTAACTGCTTCCTGCTACTTTCGACCGACTTTTCTTTCATTCCTCATCTTTCACCTTGTTGGTTTGTTACTAGTGGTGATATAAGGTGTAGCAGCTTGAGCCGCTACGCAGTAATGCTTGGTCCTGTATTGATATTGATGATGCTGTGAACAAATGGTAGTACTTCTCTTAGTTGGCTTATATCCAGTTGTTAATTGCAAACAGGTTTAGTTATAATCCAGCAACCAATAGAATTACTTGGGTTAGTGACACTTAAAAGATGATATGAGGAAATCGCTCGTCGTTCAGCAGTAACTTCAAAAAAGATTAAGTGAAGTAATACCTCAGGATGAGTCTGTTCCATGCAACAACATTGAGTGATAAGCATATATATATATATATATATATATATATATATATATATATATATATATCCTAAGAAGACACTTATAGTCAAAGTCCTGTAACCCCTTCATGTCTTCCACTTTTAACGGCCATGTCTCACATCCGTATAACAGGACGGAACGGACTGTAGCGTAGCATACTCGTCCTTTGATTGATACTCAAATATCTTGCCAGTCGCTGCTACAGAAGAAGCGATTTGGCAAATACCAAACGGACCTTCTCTATCCGAGCTGAGATTTCGTCAGTGACTAAATAAGTGAAGTGATTGACGCATTCCACCATTTCACTCCCTATCATTGGACTGGGATTTCTTGCACTAGACCAGTTTTGGAGCACTATCTAGCATTTGACAGGTGCGAGACGCATGGCAAACATACTCAGATTTGTGCTGAATGCTCTCAGAAGACCTTGCATTTTGTAAGCGTCTTCACGTAGAGGGACAATAATGTCTGCCTACTTCACATCAACCAGATGACCTCCAGGGAGTAGGTCAATCCCTATGAAGTTTCCCTACAAACTACCAACCAAAATGTATTCTTGTATAGGAAGACCACTTGAGGGCAAACCGATATTTGATTCCATCGATGAGCGCGTACTATGAGGTATGTGACATGTAAGTGTACCTCTAATGTCCGTAGCTAACTATGAACCTTTTCTCACTGTCACAAGTGGTACTTTTTACTTTGTTTCATTTAAAAAGTTAACTTATATTCACGTTCAACTATCCTTTAATTGTAAGATATGGATATTGCAAATAGGAACCAGAGAATAGTTTCCAACATATGTATGCATCTGACTTTTAGATGCTACTTGCATTTGACAGGACCACCAATGAAATAAAGTTTTAAGTCCAAAGTAGTAGTTGCTGATCGTTGGGTTGTGGTGTCACCTGACTAAGGTAGTTGGTTAAAAGTATTTGTGAATTGAATGCGAATGTGGCATTTGATAAGAAAATTCTTGGGTACTTGTCTAAGTGAGTTATCAATAGCTTATTAGGGTAGTACTTTCAGCTTAAAGATATTTTTTCACTGTTTTTTCTGTTCACCTTTATGGTGTTTTATTTTACTTCTCCGATATATCAAAATTGTACCGCGTTTATCATTTATATAATGCCATACCATACTTACCTTAATGTTTTGTGTATACACATCAGTCAGTTTCGTTGTTTCGCATTCCAAGTTACACTGAACGTACATATCTTTTCAGCATGATTATCATAAATGTCGATTTTTCTCTTATTATCTTAAGTACGTTTGTCGCAGTACTCTAGCTATACGTGTTTCAATGAACCTAGCCTTTTTTCATTGATCAGCCTTTTGCTCCATACAAGAGTATCCGTTTAATTCTTGGAATATGTTGATTAGACAGGCTGGAAAATGTTCAGTTCGTATTCAGTATTACGAACTGACTCATGTTTTTCAGTCACATGTCAAAATCAAGTGTGTCTACTTTTTTCATCTCTTTAAGTCGTATGTAGTTAGATTGGCATCATTGGAAAAACAAAATCGAAACGCTTTCAGCTACCTTGTGCAATCTATACGCTAGGCAATGAGCCTTACCTACTGTGTGAGGGCTAGTGATACTACCTTGCCGCCTAAAGCTTGGTAGGTATGGCCGGCCTCGAGCCGATGACTCAATGATTGGTAGTCATCTCCATAAATCACTGAGTCACAGCCCTGCTAAAAGTTCTTGACTGTTGGTTTGAGTCATATAGGGAGACTCAGACTAGCCGTGACAGCAGAAACCAATGGCTGGGGTCTTTAGGTGACATGGCTCATAATCGATGCTCATGGTGCACGTGTCCACACTTCATCCTAACCGCCATGCTGAATTCAGCATTTTCTCACTCCCCCTTCCTCTCTTTTACTACTTTTGACTAATTTTTCTTTTTTCTCCGTTCCGCTTTATTACTTTTTTACTCGTTGTGCTGATAGTAGATGCGCCAGCTGAACCGTTACGCAGTAATTGATACTGATTGATATAATTAAACTGTAGCAAGACATGTAGGCGAACGATATTGTTTTCCATATCTTACAAAACGTTATCTTATTTTTCACATTTAGAATCTAGCGTGTAGTTAGTGTAAAAAATTTAACACAATTCATCACAAAAGTGTTTTTAATCCCCGTAAGTACTTACTGCTGCTTTACTTGGTTGTGGCTAGCAGAGGTATCTAGGATGTGCATTTCTTCCTATTTGGGACTCATCCTGGATTCCTCTGCCAACCACAACCAAATAAACCACCATAATAACAGGCATTATCGAGGGATCCTCATAGGAGCTCATATGCCAACAGAGACCGAACAATCCGATCCAGTATAACAACGGAGAATTACAAGTATATCACAAATAGTTATACTTATTGCTTTAAAAAGTACCATTTTTTGTAGTTGAGGGAATTAATTATTCTTACCTTGTAATCTTGTTACAGGTTTGGCGTCGTTCAACATTTCTACGTATGGGTTATAACGCTTTAATGAGAAAAGCATTGAAAAAAGAACAAGAAATCCGTGATGATATGATCCGTTCCTTAATGCCTAATCAAGTTGCTCAGGAGGTGATGCGTGAAGTTGGCAACGAAAGTGGAGTTGATTCTAGCAATGACAGTGATAATAATATGAATTCAAATAACACCGGTAGAAAGAATAAACGAAACAAGAAAACTTCGTCGAAACAAAGTCAGAATAGAAAATTGAAGAATAAAAAGCTACAAAATGATGCAGACAATATGGATCTAGATGGAAAAGGCTTTAAAATTAATGGATTAAGTTATATTGGAGATGGAGATGATAGTGATGAAGAATATGAGACACAGATATCCAAGAAAGCTAGTGTTGGGAGTAACTGTGAACAACCTGCACAAGGTTAGTTTTTATTTAGTAATAAGTGCACAATGACTTTTAAGAAAGATCTGAACTCAGTTGACATGTCAACTTGTGATCCGTTAAAAGCCTGCTAGCACCAGACACCTGTTCTACCCTGATTTAGGGTCCTTTAGTAGCGGTGTTCGTCGTTGACTTCGTTAGGAGGTGGTCCAGCCATGGATTGTCACTCTGGGGAAAGTACGTTACCCTTTTGGATGGATGCCTACTGATGACATTGGATGGTGACCATGCTGTTGTGAGTCGAAGAAAGTTGGGGAAAGTTGACCACTGAGTTGCAATGTATAGGCCATGAAACCGAATGTTCATGAGCTCAGTCCTTTAGAGGTCCATACATGAGCCCCATGCTACGAGACAGCTGTCTAATGCTCCAAGATTTTCAATGGTTTTCCAGCTGATGTCAATCCGTGGTGGGGACCACTGAAATCATTCGATCCCCACAAACTCCAGTCAAAGGAGTTTGGCGTTTTGCTCAACCGGCAGCCACTACATTGACTTGGTGGTCAGAGCTGCGTATCGCGATGACCCAACGACTTGAATGACTTGAATGCTTGCTCCCTCAAGGTTCTACCATGCCAGAAGGGTTAGTTGGATAGTGGTCACACAAAAAGAAGTTTCCGTTGTAGTGTAAACTGCCACACTATAATGGGGGTCCGAAAGCGAAGCCGAACTACTGTTTGAACGTGAGTGTGACAACTGTAAGGTGTTTCTCACAGATGATCAGTAGTGCCATGCTGATGTTTCCTCTCCTATGGGATAGGGGATGGGATCAGAAAAGGTGTCGACCTGAAAATAGCACGTTGCGTGTAGCATTAACTGCAAACATTGATAGTCCTGGTTTCATTCTCGTAAAATATCACCTTGCCACACCTCATAGGAGCAATGCGAAAAATTTCAGAAATTCACTTTAAACACATGAACAAGGAACAAAGGGTACAGTTGATATTTACAAAGTTTGAAAAAAATAATACATTTTATGTAAAATAAGCAAACAAGTAACGTGGTTTAGAATTTAAGTACATATTTGCATCTTAAGTTACAAGTTACACCTATTACATTAAGTTCATAAGTTCTACTCAAATGTATGCATTGAAATATACGGAAGGTATTCCAGAATTTATAACTAAGAGGTTGGAAATTGGTCTCTTGTTCCACTGCATCACCTAATAATAATAATTGCAGGTGCACCATTCTGTTCCACTTTGATATGTGTATCATTAACTGTCTTCTATCGATTGCTAACAGCTCATGAAACTCATCTCAATTGCTTAGGATTTCTTTTATTTTACTGGTTAACGTTTCTGATATGCAATTCGTTATCCATATTCAAATCAAGGTGTCTGTTGATCTTTAAGATATGGTTTTTGTCATCTAATTCCTCCTTGTGTGTGTGGAGAGTTTTCCAGGTGCCAGGAACACGTCCAAGTTCAATTTCTTCTACCTTGATGTTAACAGACGCATAACATAATATAAGGTGGTATATAGATGTGTAAATAATTGGTAATTAGAATTTATTTTGACATTTTTTCCCATAGGAAAGATGCCTACTACGTTTTTCTTATTAGTGTAATGATGCTGATATTGATAGATATTTAGGTCAAAATATTGACAAATGAAAATTTTCACTTGTTGAGTATAATTTAATTATAAAGTGCTTCGGTTTAATGGGAATCAGCTTTATATGTTTTACGATTCGAAATTTTTCAAAATCTTTTAACGTTGACTACTGATTCGCTCGATATCATCAAAGACTAATCACAGTGCAGGTTTCATCTTTGAACCATGAGATATAAGTAACACTAGCCGGTTAGGATCCGTGGGACAAGAGAAACTAGTAATTGGAGACTGTAGGTGATATGGCTGAGAACCGATGTCAGTGGGGCACAGATGCATACACACATTATCCTCATCTTAACTCCTATACTTAATCTCATCATCACCTCAGTCTTCCTTCCTCTCTCTTACTACTTTCTGCTTCTACTTTCATTGACCGACTTTTCCTTCCTTCTTCCTTTCCTATTTTATTGCCTTGTTACTTGATGTGCTGGTATAGGGTGTGTGGTAACTTGGACTGTTGTGCAGTAATGCCTGGTCCAATATTGATCTTGATGGTGATGATGAAATAAAACTCAAATGTTTATTTTGTGAAAGCCATTTATTTATAAACAATTGTGTAGTCATTCAATGCAGTGTGAATACCCAAGACCTTTTAATTAGAAGTAAAGGATTTGTGCTGTTACGATGTACAAACACACCATCTGCAAACGTTCTCCAAATGCAGATAAATTGTGTTCCTGACAAATTATGAAGAAGCATATTCTACATAATGAGGAATGATAACTTAGATCGTTTTCCACTGAATTAAATGGGAAGTCACAAAATTGATTGTATTAATCTCAGTCATTTTAACCAACGTAGACTTCTATTCTTAGAAAAGTGAGCCTAACCACAAGCAACTGTTCTTCATGATTTTTCTAGTGGTATGCGGGTGATTGTTCAAGGGGAAGGGAGAATGTGAGTTGCAACAGGATTCGAACCTCTGGGTTGGTAGCCTAGGACTACCAGTCGAGCTACGAGACTCCACTGCTACTCACCAAGTCCTAACTTCACTCTAGTTGTTTTTTGGAGCTTTGGCTCATTAGTTTAAGGAGTTGACTTTCGACCAATGGCTCACGGGTTTGAACTCAATAAACAGTCAGGCAGGCATCAGTCTCACAAGGTGTAACCTATTTTTACAAAAAAATCAGGGGAGACTTGAATTTTCGTCTGTGAATTACTAAAATATAACTTTTGTTTCTTCGATCTGACGTTTCCTCGATGAAAGTGGACAGACATTTGAAAACTTATGTTCTAGACTATTGATGAAGAGGTCTAGAGTTGTCATTGGAATTCATAAATCACCACAAGTAAAGCGGTTTTCAACTCATAATCCACACTGTATTATAGAGCAATGTCTTCATGGAGCGGAAAGCAGCAGGACCAGATGGAATTCCTCCAAAAGCACTGAGAACAAACGCAGAGACAACAACGGACACGCTCATATCACTATTGCAGAAGGTTTGGAAGGAAGAATAGGTATCTGCCAACTGATTGGAAGGAGGGCTACCTTGTCAAATCCCTAAAGAGGGGAGACCTAAGTCTGCAAAAACTGGCGAGGAATCATGCTCCACCCCTGTACATCCCGAGCAAAGTATTAAGCCGCATCATCCTGGAGAGACTAAACAATGCTCTGGATTCAAAATTATGACCAGAACTGGCCGGGTTTAGGAAGTACAAATCATATGCGGATCAAATTGCAACACTACGCTAAACTACGCATCATCATGGAACAGAGTATAGAATGGCAGTCAGGTGGATCTTTACCTCAAAATCATCAACTTTGAAAACGCATTTCACAGCGTGGACCAAGAAGTAATTTGGCAGGCAGCTGCTTCAACACTACGGTTTTAGTGCCACAAACCTTTATCAACCTCGTTCAACAGCAGCTGTATACTATATGATGCTACATGCCAAGTGATTCACAATAGAGAGCTCAGTGATGACTTCGAAGTGAAGACAAGGGACAGGAGTAAGACAAGGTTGCAGCCTACCATCACCGATGATCTTTCTGATTGTGGTGGACTCGACTGGATCATGCAACAAACTGTGACGAGCGAGAAGAATGGGCATATACTGGTTACACCGACGAAAAGATCCTACAAGATTTGGATTTCGCTGCCGATGATGATTTATATCTAATGTCTTGTCGTACAAACTCGAAGATCTACAGACGAAAACTAACAAGTTGGCAGAAGAGGCGAAGCAGCGAAGACGGGACTTCCCTCAGGTGAACGTAGAGAATACAGAGGTGATGAAGAAGAAAGCCAACCAACAACATCAACAACGGCAAGCACCAATCACCATGAACGGGAGAAATATTAAGGAAGTTATCTCTTTCACCTACACCTGCCTAAACAGGGCAGCATCGTCTCAACTGCAGGCGACCCAAGCACAGATCACGATGTCAAAGTCAGTATCGGAAAAACAGCAAGACAGGCATTCACTAATCTGAAATCAATATGGAGATCTACTGCACTGCACTGCACTGCACTCAGCATAAAGCGTGAACAACATCCCGATTCTCAACACTAATGTCAGACAAGTCAGTCAGTGCTTCTATGCTATGGTTGAGAGACTTGGTGCGTTACGATAAGTACTTACAACAAACTGCAGACATTCATCAACTGCGGCCGCCTACGCTCACTCGACACTGACACTGAAGATCAGATGGCCAGAATAATGAGAATAAGCAACAAGGAACTCTGGCTGGCTGGCTGGCTGGCAACGAACCAACGGAGCAAGAACCTATCGCCCAACAAATATGCAGAAACACAAAGTGGAGATGGATTGGATTGGACATAGACTGAGAAGGCCGATTGGAGATATCACGCGCCAGGTCAGGCCAGGCCGTCGAGTGGAACCCAAATGGGAAACGACGAGTTGGGCGTCCCATCTGAGGGTGAAGTAGTGGAGGAGATCGTGTGAGGAAGGAATGAAAGCTTGTGGGCAGTGGTGGAGTCAGGTTCAAAAGACTGTAGAGAAGAGAGTGAAATGGTGAAGTGTTACTTAAGCCCTATCTTCCACTAGGAACCCAAATGACGAGTAATAATAATAATAATAATAATAATAATAATAATAATATAATAAAATAATAATAATAATATGATAACGAAAGCAATTCTTTCAAATCGCAAACAACTTAGAAGCTTAAGAAGATTCCCCCCCCCCCCACTTATATGAGAATATGCAGGGCCAAAGATTGTTGGGCTTTCTACTCTCAAAATATGCATGTTTTCAGCATACAGAGGATTTAGAGTGTAGTGGATACAGTTAACAAGACTACCTTATGACTACTACACTTAAATTGACTTCGCTTTAACTATATTTTACCTGCGGTAGACCTTTACTGATAATATATGAATAGAATTTCTAATATAATTAAAAAATGTTCACCATCTTTTGGTTTGATCAACGTATTTGATCTCATTTTCTGTTTCATTTGGCAACTGACAAACTAAGAATTTTTATTACATCTTTTTCGCAATAAAACTGATTCTGTTTTCGAACAGTCAAAGGAAGTAAAATGCAAATACAGGAAAAACTGTTGACATTAAACAAACTCTATCGCCAGTAGCGTTGGTCAGATATCTGCGTTAAGATTGCTATACAGCATAGAAGAGCATGAAGGTGTGACCCAGGGAATCTGGAAATCGATTTTCTTCAGTCGATGAATAAGACGTTCGAACATTGCTCCACCTACTGACGCATAGATAGTCCGGCTGTGTGTTAAACCTCATACAATAGGCATAATTTGTCGTCTAATAGTGAAACTTGTATCTAATATTCATGAGTCGTATCATGTTGGTTAAGATGGAAACTGGGTTGTGTGGCAGATTATGAACTTTTCCAAGTTGTCATTCATCGTTGACTGATACTATTTGGAGGAACCTTGGAGATCTGGGGGCACTGGACAACTGTTTCGTCCTAACACAGGACTCCTCAGGGGTATGCACCCACGACCTGGGTAGGGATCGAACCCGTGACCTTCAGGTACCGTTGCCAGTACTGGTTGGGAATCCAATGAATGCCAACTTGGAAAATCTATAAATCCCCACAAACCCTTACATGTTGAGGATTGGGATGACTATCCTTAAGCAATCCAGTGGCTGCATTGTTACGTTTGCACCTGTCTATATCCCTTTTATTGAAGAAAGTAAGTGATTATTCCGGTTCTGTCCAAATCTATTCTTATGTTTTATTCATCTCTTCTGTAGTTTACTCACCTAGATTGATGAATAGAAGGAATGAAGAATGTATAAAAGTTGTACAATAGTATTCAGATTTTAGGTTGAAAGAGATTTCATCAAAGAGGATACACACACACACACACTACCAGCTATGGTTTATTGGTTTAGAGTGTTGACATTCAACCGATTGACCACGGGTTTGAGCCCCCACAACCAGATAGTATCATTATCCTTTACACATCAGGTATGGTTCATTGCCTAATTCACGAATGTGCATGGATCAAAAAGTTAACGCAACAATGTAAATCAATCGGTTTTTCTGTCGAAACATTTTTTGAAGTTTTTTTTACCTTTCTATTCTTTGTTTTTTTGGTGGTGAATATTGATCAAATAATACATTCAATGTATTTGTTTAAATTTTTGTAACTTGTAATCTATTTTCCATTCATAGCTTTCTCTCTAAACAATTATCTCTTTCCAGATGACTTAGAAATTGGTACTTGTGGTGTAGGTGCTGGTACTGGGACTAATCCCAGATCCAGTCTGGTACCAAAATCAACTGTACTTCCAACACGCGCTGTAGCATTTCGAAAATTTCATGTGAATCAATTGGAAAATGTTAGTGTATTATTCGCTGATATTGTCGGTTTTACCAAGATGAGTTCAAATAAATCTGCATCTCTTCTTGTTTACTTATTGAATGATCTTTTTGGAAGGTAAGTTCATCCATATTCACTATTTCTATGAAAACTAGTCACTCCTATTGAACAGTATATCATTCTGAAAACTAAGTATTTTTCTCATCGTATAGATAATGTTTTCGAAATATATTATTATCTCATATGTATGTTTGATGGTTGCAGGGAGTTAGCAAGAGACCTTAAACCTCAGTTTCATGATTTATTGATACTTGTCATTATCATTAGTATCAACGTAGAACCAGGCATTACTGCATAATGTTTCAAGTTGGCACATTTCATATCAGTTCTTCAAGCAACAAAACACTAAGAGAAGAATCGATCAGAAGTAGAAGAAAGGAGTGAAAGAGAGGGAAGAGGAATATGAAAATGCTGAATTCACTATGATGCTGATTAAGATGAGGATGATGTATGAAAACGTCTGCGTCAATGAGATCAATTCCGAACCACATAACACCTAGAGTTTTGAGCTCTTGGTTTCTGTTGTCACGTGGACACCAACCGGCTAATGTGCATTTCGCTACCTGGCTGAGACTAACAGTCAATACTTTATACACTAATGCCATGTTTTAGTCTGACTGCTTTGAGTCTTTTTCCAGCATACACCTACTTCAACGAGGACCTCACGATGAAGGAGACGATGACTAGCCACATGTAACATATTACAGCCAGCCATCTGAATAAGTGAAGGCTTACAACTTCATCAACTTACTTTTCTGCCTGACTTCTGCTTTACCGTGTCCTCTGACAAATGGTAGAACAGAGTGAAGTGCAGCGCAGTACACTCAACCTTTAATCGACAGTCGTGGCGGATCCGCAGATGGTGTAAATCGTTGAGAGCCGATCGAACCTTTTATATCCGTGCTGAGATTTCATTGACCACTGATCCACCAGGGCTGACCCAATTTACCAGTAAGATTTATCTGGAACGTTGATGGAAATGGTGTCCCCAAGAGATTCCAGCTCTAAAGGCGGTAAGTCATGGTATGAATTACTCTGGTAAGGTTTCTGACTGGAGAACTGTGTAATATGGGTTCGAGTCTCTCAGGAGACATCAGTTTCCTCGAGGTTACAGATACATCTTACTTACGAATACCAATGAGCAGGAAATCTAGGTTAAACGGGACTTTCTACCGATTTACGAAGAAAAAGTGGGAAACGTGAGGGAAAATATAAGGCAATCAAACAATATAGTTTTCAAGATCTAATGTTTTTCAGCAAAAAACTAGCGGATCGTTAAAATTCCACTTAAAAACAAGCTGAACAGAACAGAATTTTAGAATGATGAAATTGTCTGATCGAGTAAAAGATTAAGCTATAAAAATTTTACTTTGTTTTCTGATTTATTCTTATATTGTTTTATCTACTGTGTGGAACGGTAACTTATTGAAAGGATAGTATTGTTGATAGGAGTTAACATGAATTTTACAATACTGCATGGAATTTTCTCTGGTCTGCACTCATCAGTGAGGTCTATATAATTAAATTTAAATTGTATTTGAAAGTTTGTAGAGATTTATTAATTGATTTTAGGTTAGAATTCATCATGAACTGACATTAGTTGGTGGAGCATTGGAAACCTGAGAGAACTGAACAACTATTTTGTCTTAGTATGGGAGTCCTCAGCAGTTCGCACCCACGATTCCTTGGAGTGGAGTCAACCAAGTCGAACATGAGGACAGTTACTTAACGACGACATTGGATGTAGGTTGCGCTATACCGTGAACTCACAGGAGTAGGAAATATAAACCGTTGCATCCCAACCTAACGGCTCAATGGTAACGTAGTGACCACGGAACCCGAAGGTCCTGAGTTCGATCCCTGGCTGGGTTGGATCGTGGGTGCGCACTTCTGAAGAGTCCTATACCAGGACGAAACAGCTGTCCAATGTCCCTCTAACTGATGTGAGTCCATAATGAATTCCAGCCTAAGTCTAAACTGTTCTATCAATAACGCTTATAGCACTACTACTCGGTTGGTAAGGTCGAAGTAGGTAAAGTGGAATTCGGGAATCGAATCTACAATGAATAAAGTGGAATACATTCATTAACCATATGCACGCTCGTGCAATTGTCTGTGAACTACATGTATTTCGTGAAGGCTACTCATGCTACCTGCTTACCCAAACCTCAGTAGATGGAGCGGGATTCGAACTCATGACCCATTGGTTGAAAATCATCTCCCCTAGGCTAATATACTGTGTATTCATGGTCAGTTATTATTATTTTTGATTTTTTCATCAGTCATTACTTTTGCATCTCTGATTACTTTCAACTTGATAATATTCATCCTTTCCTTTATCTTTTGTTTTATTTCCTTCTCCCTCTTCCTTTTGTTTTTCATAGATTTGATCGTTTGTGCGAAATTGTTGGATGCGAAAAAATTGCCACCTTAGGTGATTGTTATTACTGTGTTTCAGGTTGTCCAAATCCAGTGGATGATCATGCTGAGCGTACAGTTGAAATGGGTAGAGCAATGTGTTTAGCTATACAACAATTTGATGAAGATCATTCAGAAGAAGTGAGTTCTTCGTTGAAATTTCTCACTTACATCATTTCAATCAAAGAATTATTTCATTTCTGTGTTTTCTGCAGTATTTCGCTTTCAAAATGTGTTAAACTCTATATGTTAGTTTGTTTGCTGGATATTTTATACAAGGAAATTATATTATTACTTATTTGATGCATTGTATTGGAGGCTGTGTTACCACTCGACTGCTTACACCTCGATAGGTGGAACGGTGTTTGAACCCTATGACTCGCTAAACCATTGAACTTTGTCTGTATTTGATGCACTGACGACTTCAAAATCGTTGCATTATTATTATTATTACTCGTCATTTGGGTTCCTAGTGGAAGATAGGGCTTAAGTAGTACTTCACCATTTCACTCTCTTCTCTACAGTCTTTTGAACCTGACTCCACCACTGCCCACAAGCTTTCATTCCTTCCTCACACGATCTCCTCCACTACTTCGCCCTCAGATGGGACGCCCAACTCGTCGTTTCCCATTTGGGTTCCACTTGACGGCTTGGCCTGGCCTGACCTGGCGTGGCGTGGCGTGGCGCGTGATATCTCCAATCGGCCTTCTTAGTTTATGTCCATTCCAATCCATCTTCACTTTCTGTTTCTGTATATTTGTTGGGCGATAGGTTCTTGCTCCGTTGGTTCGTTGCCAGCTAGCCAGCCAGCCAGCCAGCCAGCCAGCCAGCCAGCCAGCCAGCCAGCCAGCCAGCCAGCCAGCCAGCCAGCCAGCCAGCCAGCCAGCCAGCCAGCCAGCCAGCCAGCCAGCCAGTCAGTCAGTCAGTCAGCCAGAGTTCCTTGTTGCTTATTGTCATTATTCTGGCCATCTGATCTTCAGTGTCAGTGTCGAGTGAGCGTAGGCGGCAGCAGTTGATGAATGTCTGCAGTTTGTTGGAAGTACTTATCGTAACGCACCAAGTCTCTCAACCATAGCAAAGAAGCACTGACTGACTTGTCTGACATTAGTGTTGAGAATCGGGATGTTGTTCACGCTTTATGCTGAGTGCAGTGCAGTAGATCTCCATATTGGTTTCAGATTAGTGAAGGCCTGTCTTGCTGTTTTTCCGATACTGACTTTGACATCGTGATCTGTGCTTGGGTCGCCTGCAGTTGAGACGATGCTGCCCTGTTTAGGCAGGTGTAGGTGAAAGAGATAACTTCCTTAATATTCCTCCCGTTCATGGTGATTGGTGCTTGCCGTTGTTGATGTTGTTGGTTGGCTATCTTCTTCATCACCTCTGTATTCTGTACGTTCACCTGAGGGAAGTCTCGTCATCGCTGCCCTGCCTCTTCTGCCAACTTGTTAGTTTTCGTCTGTAGATCTTCGAGTTTGTACGACAAGACATTAGATATAAATCATCATCGGCAACGAAATCCAAATCTTGTAGGATCTTTTCGTCGGTGTAACCAGTATATGCCCATTCTTCTCGCTCGTCACAGTTTGTTGCATGATCCAGTCGAGTCTACGACAATCGTTGGGTTGATTTGTATTAGCTAAATTATTTTGTGTAATGCAGTCTTTTGAAGCTTGGAGCTTTGAACACTTGTTTCTTATAGTGGGTTTTTGGGTTTTCATGTGTCACCTTAATCCTACGTAAACTTTGGTAACACCATGGAGATTTCGAACTTTTGTTTATTAGTGTCTCCGCCAATAACTGCATATTATCATCGTCGTTATCTGTGTCTACGTTCCTCAACCTTTTGGTTGCAGCTTCTTATGCATTTCTTTTTCTCTGCGAGTATAATTATTGAGTACCAGGATTTCTTTTATGTATCTTATTTCCTGTCATAGGATTTTTTATTTCATTGTTTAGAGATTTCGTTAAATCTATTTTATCTGATATGGAGTGAGACGACCTGAAGTCTGGGCACCGACTAGAATGTGTGGGTTTCCTGTAGATGTTGGTGTTTAAGAAACTCACCTTGTCTCCTTTGTTATTCTGTAATCCAGCATAGTTTGGTCTGATGTCACCACTCTCCAGTTCGTAAGTGAAACTGGTTTGTATGTACAAGTAAATTTGAATTTTGGGGGATTTGTGGGGATTTGGAAATATTTCAGGTTGTTATTCATCGTAGACTGACATCAGTTGGAGGAACAAAGGAAACCTGGGAGCACTGGACAGCTGTTTCGTCCTAGTGTGATGGGGGCAAAGCCTGATGGTCGTGAGGACAGTTAGTCAACGATGACATTGGATGCGGTTGCGCTATATCGTAAGCTAACAGAAGTAGGAAATGTGGACCATTGGGTTCTGACCCAGTGGTTTAATGGTAACGTGCTGGCCACGGAACCTGTAGGTCGCGGGTTCGATCTCTGGAGTGCGGGGTCGTGGGTGCGGACTGCTGAGGAGTCCCTTGCTAGGACGAGGCAGCTGTCCAGCCCTTCGAGGTTTCCTTTGTTCCTCCAACTGATGTCAGTCTACGATGAATAACAACTACAAATAAATTTGTTTGTTAAAAAATTTTCGACAAACTGTGAATTCAACACGCCCGGCGTATCTTCACTATTAAAGGATACTACTACTGAAAAAATTGGATGGTTAGAAATCATTCAGACTGATCTGTATATTCCGCCAGGCAACCGCATCAAAGTGATCTGAACATTATGTAGTCGTTGCGATCATTCATGACCGAGCTGGCTCATCACCGGTGTACCCAGACAAATTCAGCTGACTTTCGTGGACCGGTATACTTTACTTTAAATAGGATGGTCAATTTGCAGATGATTTACCGATTACGCAGTTCGCGTTGAAGTGTCTTACAACTGAATAGTTTTTCAACTGCCACCTAAATGTAGTGTTAACAAGGTTTCTCTGGAAACCACTCAGTTGAGATCACGAGGTGTGATCTCTAATACAAAAGTATCATGAACTAGGGAATATACTACCAATGACCAACTTCAGTAGTTAAAAAGCATTCAGATTGATCTGTGTCAAGGCTCATACCTTGTGATCTTGGCTGGTGGGTGGTTTCTAACGGAAACTTTGTTGACACCAGAGTTGAGTGACAGTTGAAAGACTACGCAGCTGTAAGAAATGAGAACGTATGTGGACAGTGCAGTTTGTCCATCATTTACAAATTGATCATCCTATATATCTCCATATTATTTTAAGGGAAAGAATAAGTGTCTTTTAAGAGGTGTTTGTTCCCAACTATCCACAATTATGGCTACCACTATCGAAGGTATTAGTAATCCCATAGAAACTCCTGTTTGTTTGTGTATTTTCCATTGGAACTTTAAAACTGTGGAATTCAGGCATAACTGTACACTGGGTTATAATTTCTTCAGTTGGTACCTTGGTCCTGAGTTCGAGTTCTCGGTTGGAGTCGAGCTGATTTTAGATTTCTTCTAGGGTCATGTTATTAACTTATTATTATTATTACACCTAAACACCGAATAATGTGATATGGAATACAATACGACAGTATTATGTAAGTATTGAAGAAGGTTATGTAGAAATCTACCTGAAGTAATCTTGTAGTCTACAGTGGTGTTTATGTAACAATAAGAAGGAAACAATTACAAGACGTTTTTGGTTTTGAATTTCAGCTGTCTCTGAAGAAATATCTTGAACAAAGCAATCTCGATATACCACTATCATGGACGGTACTTGTTTACTTTCGGTCAGAAATTTGGATATTTTAAACTAACTGCCTCCTAGTTTTGCCAATCAGTCCTAAAGTCAGCAGATAATCATGAATACGTATACTCGTGTCGAAAATGACTTCCTTTAATGACTAATAGTTTTTTGCAATGCCTAAATAAAGCCAATCAGATAGATGAGTTCATGATATCATATAGCAGCGTATACGATGAGGAAACTGAGAATGTGTGTAGGAATAATAGTTCCCTTGATTGTATACTGATGCAAGCCTTTTGCGTTTCTTCCTAACCTTTTTGAGAGAAGGTTAAGGTTGGCCAAACAAAACTGGAAGTGGTGGAGTGTATCGACCGATTCACTTCAGGAGGTGTAACAGCCCGAATGGGCTGGTTACTGACTAAATCTCAGCTGGGATAGAGAAGGTCCGTCTGGTATTTGCCGAATCGCTTCTTCTGTAGTGGCGACTGGCAAGATATTTGAGTATTAATCAAAGGATGAGTATGCTGCGCTACAGTCCGTTCCGTCCTGTTATACGGATGTGAGACATGGCCGTTAAAAGTGGAAGACATGAAGGGGTTACAGGTCCTTGATTACAAGTGTCTTAGGATTGCTGGTATATGGTGGAACCACTATGTTAGCAATGTGGAGGTCAGGGGCAGGGTACTAGGCAAGACGGGCAATTCGATTGATAAGGTTGTGAACCTTCATCGGGTGAGATGGCGTGGATTACGTTGAATTATTTTGGAAGAGCGTTCATGGCGGCTAGACCAATGTGCGCCCCCAGTCGGTGAACTCTGACTGTTAGTACACCGACTTTCAACCAAGTGGGCCACAGGTTCGAACCCACCTTTAACTGGGGTGATTTTGAATGACTAGACTTTACCAAAATTCTTACACAGAAGGCTGTCTGATTGTTCAGCGCACTAATTTGCATATGGTAACTGGATTACATTTCTGTTAATCAGTTTTGTCTTACTTGTTCTACTACAATAAAGTAGTCATTTCCTCTTCATCTGGTGTATATCTAAACACTTATATGTTGTAGCAGAGCTTCTCTCTTTTACACGGCATCACTCAGAATCCTTTTTTTCTGGTATTATTGCAACCTTTTCATTGTTTTCATACTGTTCATAGGTATCTTGAGTGATGACTAGATATACATTTTTTGAATACTATATTTTGGTGATGTTTTCTCTATTGGCTACATTTTATAATGCGCTTCTTCTTATCGATTTTACCCTAAAGGATTTAGAGAGAATAGGTTTTACTTGTAATATTTACTGTTTCCTTGGTTTTTATTTACTCTGGAAATTTTATCTTCTCTCTTATCTACAACCAGCTCTTTTATATTTATAAATTATTGCAATCCAACTAGATAATTGGAAGTAAACAGCCTATTT